CATTTATTACAATGCATGTGCGTACCAAAAACGTTTACCTCCAGATTTGTGATAAATTACTTAATGATTGCCTGCCTTCAAAGGTGAAGGCAGAGTGATAATGATTTTGTCATTTGGTCTGGTTGGTAACTGAATGCATGAGATTTGTGCTTAAAAACATTTACATTTATTATTTGAATAAGCCGCATTTGTCTGTTAGCAAAATTTCAAATACCACTAGACACATTTTAATGAAACTTCAAGAAATATTAATTTATTGTACCTATCATTGATTTTCTTTTGGAATTAATTTAATTCAAGATGGTTGACCTGTCAACTGACTTAAAAAACACACAAATGGTAGTCATTTTTACAGGTTGATAAAATAAGCTTTGGCAGTAGCCATTCTCAACAAATACTCCAAGTGCTACACATTGAGTGATGTCAATAAGAACTGTTAGATACCACTAGACAGATTTTAATGAAACCATCATAAGAAAACCTACAAATTGTCAACTTTTGAGTTCCATTTGATTTAAGATAATCACGATAATCAACATTATGAAACATAAAAGTGTCCAAAGTTTTTAGCTAAAGTAGCTCAGAGTCTTTCATAACATACTGCCTGGGTTGTAGGTTTGATCGATTTTACCAAAAGGTTGGATTAAAAGGTTTGACCCAGTGATAGTAGAAACCTGTCATTTTGTTCCTATCAGGCTGCCATTTCAATACAAACAGACACATCAGACTTGACTAGATCTCTGCTTTAGGGGGCACTAACCAAAGTTGTCATCATCTAATGACCCTGATTTGGAGTTGTTCATTTAAAACCAACTTTTAATAACTCTAACTCAACAAATTAGTCAGTGTAACTCAATCTTGGGTAGAAAACTAAAATTAGTACCTTGGGTCAAACTGATAACCCAGCTTTACTGAATAAATCTGACAAAGAACCGAGTGCTGGATTACATATTTGGTTGGTTTAAACTTACCACTTTTTAGTGTGCAGTCTAGAAATCTGGCATGAAAGGCAACCGACAACATACATTTCTTTAAAAAATGCTAGTTGTTTTTTTTTTTTTTTTTTGAATGACTTCATTAAATTGCGTATGTTTGGTTATATACAAATTGACGTCATTGTCTTTGGCTTCAGTCTCACTTGGAAACAGCAACACAAAAAAAACTTCTAATAATAGTGACTCACATCACATGTGTCATACTGAATTATACCACACAAACAAATATAGAAAGTAGCTGAGAGGGCACACTCCAGTTAGAAATTCTTTATCCAAATAGAGTTGGACTCTTGCGCTAAGTTTCTTTTGATTCAGCCATGGAGAATTTTTGAACAGTTTTACTAACAGACAAACAGCTTTCAGGAAATCTCCTCAGCTTTGGTTCTGACCCTTGGTGAAATAACAGAAACTAGGAAAAGGGTTTGTCTGTATTTATTAAATTAATTTAAATATCACATTTTAAAACAAATGCTGTCAACTCAAGTGCAGCATTCAAAATACTATTTGTAGAAGAATAGCATTAGTACTAATAGTGCCAGAATTAAAAGTATTTATTGTCAGGACCAACAAAATAACCTAGGGCACAGGCAGATGTCAAAAATAAAAAAAGCACGAGGCCTTTAATAAAAAAAACTCAAGGAGGCTGAAAATACAGCAGAAATTCACTATGACTTGGAGGTAGATGAAGAATATGGAACAGGACACAACCAGTTAGACAGAACAATGATCCGACAATGAGACAGAGACAAGACTGAGCTTAAATACACAGAAAACTAATGAGGGAACAGAAAACACCTGGGGAGAAACAAGGGTAATCAGCAGAGTGATGTGGGGCAGCTGAGCAGACACACAGGGGAACACGGAAACACTAGGAAAAACCAAGGCATAAAATGACAAACCATGACACTTATTAAAATAAGGACTAGTAGTATAGTGGTAATACGTGCTCTGTTTGATGTTGAACATCAAACGGGCTTATTTACATGAAGCTTAAACAAACAGAAACACAAAGTGGAGAATGAAGACCCTTCAGTCTCCATCTGAAGCTGTGGAATCAGTTCTGACTGATGTTGTTGCATGATAAAAAATTGCATAACTTTGTATATAGAGTAGCTTCATCTGCTTTTCATGGGTCGACAGCTTAGGCAGCTGCCCCCAAAACCCTATAGAGGAATCCATGTGCCAAAAGTGTAGTACTCTATTTGTGAACGAATTGAGACTAAATGGCCAATGCAGAGATGGAGAGAAGATCCTGGGAGGAAGAACACCGTGGTGGGACGTGTACTGCAGCAAGAGGGGTTTGCCAGGAGCTCTGCTGTGTTTCGTGATCTGAGAAAGGTGTGAAAACAAGCATCTTCCAACCATGTGACCACAAACCAAGTATGGAGAGCCCTTACCCCTAATTTACATTACTTGTGTTCTGTCTCCACTCCACACCGGTGCGGTCCGACAGATGTGCAGGAAGGAGATTGCGCGATAAATGTGGAAGTCAGAGCAAAAAATAATTAATTCTGTGAAAGACGAACTCCAAACACAGCTGAAAACATTGATATAAAGGCTTTTGGTATCCATGTTGAAACTGTCTCGCTGTCGCCTTTCTGAAACTTCTGATTTCAAAATAAAATCCACGTGTATCGTGTGTGCACACATAGCTTCATGCTACGTTTCCATCTGCTTCCCAAACAGAGCAATACATTCTGACGGCATTTGTGTAGAAATATATCCATATATTTATTAATATAGCTGCAATTTCGACATTATTCCGACAAATTATTTCGTCGAATAGTGTCTTATTTTGAAAATATGGATGTTGTGCTCGTTTCTTTTCATCTTGGTGCGACATAATCTTTAAAAACTGACTCTGGCGCAGCTCTGGCATAGCTCTGGCATCCGTCAAAAATAGGATCTGTTCTAATTTTGACCGCTGCTCTGCGCAGCCGTGCGCAACCAGTGTAAACACTCTCATTGATTATAATGGGTGCGCATTTGCTGCGGAGGTCGGACAGGAGCAGAGCGGAGATGGAACACAAGTAGTGTAAATTGGGGGTTAGGCCTCAAACGAAGAATCACTATACAAAAAGTCATATTGCCTTAAAGTTCTGAACTTTAAGTCCCAAAAGCATCTGGTCATCACATTAGCTTTTATGTGTCCACAGTATTTTATATAGATGATACAGCAGGGTAAAATAACTGAAAGGTGCATCTTATGGACAAGGATACATTTTCAGAGATATCTCCTGTGTTCATCTGACATTTCAGGCCTCACAGCGTTGTACACCAAGGTGACCCAGCTTGGGTTGATCAAATTTAGACTTGTGTCCAAGCAACAATAGGCCACAGGACTGTTTTTCCCCAATTCACAGCCACCTGGAAGCTCATTCTGTAGCAGTTCAGATGGCTGTTCTTCTCAGTGGGCTGATCATACACATGCAAATGTTCCATGGAAAAGTGTGGCTGATCATTTGTTTGAAACTTCCTCCTACAGTATAGCAGGTGTTCTTACAAACCTTGTCTTCAACCCTCCCAGAGGACTGTCACTTGTATCCGGACAAACTCTTTTGAGACCTCTGGTAGAATAGTAATGTATACACAAATACACTGGAGATCAATGAGTGTTTGAACGTCTACATTTTGCAATCTGGGTGGATTTGAGAGAATACGAAGTCCAACAGCAACGAGAGGCACATTGGCTCAAAGGAGATAACACCTGATTTATTGGTTTTGATGCTTCGGGTGTGGTTATTTGGTGTTTTGTTATGTGTATGTAGTGAGTGCAAGTGGTTCAACGTCCCCTTGTTTTTATCTGTCTTTCCCTACTTGAGTTGGGTATCGTTGGGGCCCTGATTCACACCTTTTGCTCACAGGGGGCTGAGTCATACTTGCAATCACAGCATTGTATGAGGGGGACAACTGAACACGAAGGCCTCCACCTCTGTTTAATGGCGGGCGGTTTTTCGTCACAAAAATGGCTTCCTTTACTCCTCTCTCAAACCATTTTTTTTCTTTTTGATTTTTTTCTTCCTGGATTACTGAGATGCATCAGGACATCCTGTCATGAATTATTCATAAATCAGAAAACTGATAGTGTAAAAGTGTTTAAAGATAGTAAATTTTTCTGACATGAAAATTCCAAATTTCTGAGCTCTGTTTAAACTTTGATTGATGTTTCTCCTGTGAGTTAGAGAGCTTCAAAAAGGGCTGGATTTTTCTCCTTTCTTTTTTTCAAAATCTTATTGTGCATGAGAACATTTTTTTTATTTTTATGATTTTGTTGTGTGACATACCATTACCAAAAGTCACATCACACTCTTGCTGGTTGAGCCAAATGTTTTGATGCATTTTTTATAAAAGTGTTTTTTTTAAATCAACAGAAAGACATGCAGGTCAAAACCTAAATTTCAAATTTAGGAATAATGGGCAAGAAGTAATACTGTAAATATGCATAATGCTTCTGCATTGACACCCTTAAATATAATATATTGTATAAATGAGGCTATAGAAAGTTTACATTGTTAACAAGTACAATTCTGTAATAATTAATTTTGAAATGGCTAAAAATTGTTCTAGAATTTGAAAAGCATAAAGTTATTTAATTTTATTTATTTATTTAATTTTATTTTCAATTTTGTACACAAATTGCTATTACCAACATTAACTTGGAATAACATCAACATTTTAAGGAGAGTGGCACCTCTCAGCTCTGCCCATATCTTTGCACACTGATGCCCAAACTGGGCTGCATGTG